CTTCTCAGTAACAGACTAACATCTGAGCAGCCACAGTCTACAGACAGACACTGAGAAAGGTCAGCCATCTGCCTCGCTTGTTAAGCCGCCACTGGATGCAACGAAGTGATACAAGCAATGTGTGCATGTGTGCATCCATGCATGCAGTGGGTGGAAGTGTTGTGGCAAAAAAAAAAAAATGAAAAGAGGAAAATGGTTTTGCGGAAAAAGATTCAAAAAGATGACGAGAACGGAGCAGATTCTTTTTCCCAACTTCTGACATTTTATCGGTCCAGCTCCCTTCCTCCTATCAGAGTGACCACCTGCACCCCCCTCTTACCACCCACCCAACCTCCGCATCTCAAGATCAACATGGCACTCACTCATCCCCCCCCACCACCATCACCCAAACCTTCCTCCGTCGTCCACGACTCCAGGGACCGCCGTGACAGGCGGGTGCAGGGTGACAGATGGCATACACCAACCTCCCTCCCCTCCTAGAGCTCTTCTCTCCTCTCCCTCCTACTGCATCAGCCCCCCTGCTCGGCCCCCCGCCCCCCCCCCTCCTCCGGTGGCGCAGCGGCGGACCAGATCAGTGCCATTCTGTCTCATTAGAGCCTGGCTAATTAGCGTAGCCTCTTCCAGGGGAGAGTGAGTGAGTGTGAGAGAGATGGAGAGAGGATGATGATTGGAAGGGAGGGCGTTGGTGGCGTTGACGGCGATCTGTGCTCTTCTGGTCATTGAGGAGTCGAAGGGCATTGAGCCCCGCGGTGCGCCGGGCTCCCAGGGCGCTTGTTTTGCGACAGCGGGGTCTCTGATTCCACCCACTGCATAATTCCTCTCAGGAACTGTCGAGAATGTTTAGACACTAAAGTCAAGCCAAAGCCCAATCTGCTCCACACCACCATGCAGCTAGCATCCCAATGCTACGCTAAATATTAGCTGCCAGACTCACCGCTCCCCTTTCAACAACGTTGCTATCAAATCAGTGCTGTTCATATCATATCTAGCACCTCTATAGCTTTGATCAAACCGGGCTGCTGTGGTTTCTAATGGCTGTGTCATAACTGGATCAGAACCAGTTATTTTCTGCAATTTGGACGAGTCCTGAAGCTAAACAGAAACGCACTAATCATGAAGCGTTCACTCGCCAAAAAAAAAAAAAAGTATCTGATTTCAATCGAAAACGTCTCTGCTTCTTTTTCAGATTGACTGGAAGTGAGTTGCAACCTTTAATCAGATAAAGTGACATGGTTCAGGTTAGATTCACAGCTCTATAGTTGCATCTCTGAAAATGTGGCAGTAAAAGAGTGATTGAAATGCAACACTGAATATGTGAGAGGAGGTGGAGAAGGGGGGCTGTTAGGGTCTGGCAGAGGCCTGCTGTGGTTACGAGCCCTAAGAGAGAACAGGATGGCTGTGTTCCAGATACCTCCCAAACACACAGAGTACACACATTCAATATGCCTAAACAGAAACCTATATCTACTACAGAGGAAGCACAAACACAGATCTATACAGAGCAGAGCAGGCACCAATCAGGTAAATGTTTACTACTCCTCCATCTTAGGAAACACGAGATGAAATAAGGACCGAGTTTCCTTCAGGGTTCTATCAGCTACTCTTCTCTGATTAAATCAAATGCTTCTCCTAAACATAAGGCTGCTAACAAACACCCACTGAGCGCACACGGGACTGACGCACTGGTCAGCTGATTTGGTGTTCTGAAACACCCCACCCCCAAGCTGAGCCTGAGCTGACGGGACAGTGCCAGCTTTGGTGATGAGGCCTCTCCGTCACCCTCCCCCAACGATTATTTCCCTGGACCCCATATGGGCACCCTGCCAGTCGAGCCCATCCTCCATCCTCATCGCCAACCACGTCCCCGACGCTCACTGCTGGCACGATCCTTTCATTCTGGGTTTCTGTAGGGTTATATTTTGCCTCGCACGGCTGCAAACATCTCTTGACCTTAGCTACAAACCGAAACGCAGTAAAGATGGCGATGTTGATATCTCATGTGAGGAAAAATCCTCCAATCAGAAGGAGCTATGATTTCACCACTAACACCTCTTTTCAAGTGAGCAAGGAGAGATGAGTTGGCAGCAGCATGCAGCAGGGTTAAACAGACACAGAGTCGGTGCTAATTACTTACTTGTTTTGCCTTCCCAGAAATGAGTTCTTGAGAATTTTTTTTTTTGAATGAATGAATAGAAGGTAGATTCTGTTCTTCCTCTTTTGTATAACGAAACATTTTATTTTCAGGCAGTATTAACTCAGCAGCATTCACGGAAATCAGAGCAGTTAAATTTCAGAAAACCATGAAGAGATTAAATCTATAAAAACAGCTTTTCTCAGAAAAAACAAAATACATGTCGTTTCTAATTGGCTTCGACTGTGGTTTTGTATTTATGTTGGAATATTTTAGCAATTCGTTGAGACATTGACCCCCTAACAAAAACAAATCACGTATCTCAAGAGGAGATTCAAGGTTAAACAATAAATCACCATCACGATCACAATTATATTTTAGAAAAGAAAAAGGCGAAAATTTAAAATTCGGCAAATGAATCTATTTTTATTACTGTTTTAGAACATCTAGCAGGGTTAAGATCAATGTGGGCAACAAATCATTAAACATCACTGAAGCTGGCTTTATTTTGGTTAGCATGATAAAGGCCTATTTCCCCGGACAACTTAGATCAGCTTAGTTTCAAAATGTACGACTTTTATACAAGAAAAATCAGCAACATTTGACAAAAATCCACAAGATTCGAAAAACTTTGTTTTTGTTGTAAATTCTATTAAATAAAAAATATTTGATTCCTTGGATAAAGACCTGAATGTGCCACATAGGTAGAGCTGCCATTTGGTAATCAATCTGTTGACTAATTTTATTTCTTATAGATTAATAAACAGATAACAAAGGCAACTTGATAGATTTTTTACAGAATTTAAGCCTTGTAAAGCTAAAACGTTCTAGTAATTATGTTAAGAATATATTTAAAGAAACGTTTTTTTCCTCATCAGTGCAAATTCTGTTTTTTTGTAACGTTTGGCTAAATCAAGCGATCACTGATCTGATTTATTGTTGCAGCCCGAGGTTAGAACCTAAGAAATCTTTGATCTATCAACAAGCTGGTCATTTTTTTTTTTATCTAGTTCTTTGCGTATTTTTGCTTTATAAAATTACGTTTTTTGACCATTTATCTGAAGTTTCACATTATGTGCTAATTTGAAATAAATGATCCGTTAATTTATTTTTTTTTTTTTGAAACAGGTGATCCAATTTATACAACACTGAGCAGATTGTTTTTTTTTGTTTTTTATTACAGATTAGGTAGCGCCTACTATTTTCTTATCGCCATTTCTAGCTGAACTTGGAAAATATATGAACAAACAGTTTCTTTTAAAACTGCAAAGGAACTTTTTTTTTGCTTTTTTCATGCTGATTTATCAAAAGAAAAAATGTTTTATAAAAAAATGGAGCTGAAACCAACAAATGTTATCATTTCCTAAGATAATATTCATTTTAACAGCTCCTGGTTAGTGGGGATTTCCTTTTTATACAATTTCAGTACTGCTAGATTATATAAGAATCTACAACATTGAAAACTTTTTTACTGGTTTAATGGTTCCATATCTGACTTTAAAAAATAATCTGAAGTCTGGATTAGCAGGAAAAGCCTGATCGGTGCATCTTTAACATAACAGGATATGACTGGAACATGTCTGAAGTTTCTTAAAATGATATGTAAATAACTCAATTGAACAAAATTTCTTTACACGCAATAAATCTACATAAATTTGGAAAGATTAAAATAGAAGCCACCACCTTAACGCTCTTCAAAAAGTGACAAGGAGACACATTTTTCTGTTAGCTTCCAACATTTTTTAGGGAGCAGGTTTGCGTTTGGAGCAGCGACTGGTCTGAAGGTTGCTGGGAGCTGTGGCGGCTGCTGAGGTAAGGGGGGAGACCAGCTGCCCGGGAAGCGCCCATTACGAGATGGAGCCAGAGATAAGTGCTCTCACAGGCCCCTTTTCAGAGGCATAATTAGCACACTTCTTATCTGCAGCTCAATTCACATTCACACCCGCCTGCCATGAATGGAAAGTGAAAAAGAGGCAGAAATCGGAGGGAACGGCGGAGGCAGAGGGGCAAGACGTAGAGACGGGAGGGGAGGCGGGGAGGGCACGGTGGAAATCGGTTCCCAGACAAGCCGTCAATTTGGGAAGAGGTGAGACAGGAGCGAGTTAATACTGCGACTGCCTTTTCTCTTTCTCCATCCTACGAAGGAGTCTTTGAACTCTTTAACAAAAACAGTGGTTTGTGCATCAAACTGCAATTTGGTAAAACAAAGCTATCTGGGGCTATAATCATCCTAATCAGCAAGAAAAAAAACATAAAGCCTTTGCAGATATTTCGAGATTATTCCGCCCTTGGTGATCTATTTCCCCACCCGTCCTCCTCATCAGGCACAATTGTGGAAATCTCTCCAGCTCTGCCTGCAACACACACATTAACGCTAAGTCCTGGGTGCCGCAGCTTTAATTGCTTTTAATAAAGAGTTAAACTGCTGGTGTGTTTTCTCCTCGTCTGTTTCTCTGTTTCCAGCACACACAGGCTCGTATTGTTCGAGCTTTGTGAGAGCTGACAGGGGCCCCTCATCATCATCTTACTGCGCCGAGCTAATATAAACAGGTTTGTTTGGTGTTGAAACAGCGTCAACTGAACTCCAAACCCACAATAAAGAAGACATGATGACGATAACTCACTGCTGCCATGTTTCTGGAGTCAAACACAATTCTCTCCTTTTACCTAAAAGTTTGCATCTCGATTATTATCATGAGGGTGATCAAAGATTAGGGAATCTCTATAAGGGGTTAAATTAATAAAGGATCTATCTTTTTCAGGCTACTTAAAGTTGCTTTAAAGGTAAACTAAACCAGATAACAACAAAAAATTCTCCATTTTGTTTGATCTTATTTGTTGGGCGTTTGGTTGTGGTGTGTTCAGGTACCTGGCTCTTAGACGCAGCCACCTTGGCGAACAGGGCCTGGGACACCTTGGCCCGCTTCATCTCCTGCTGGATCTCATCATAGATGGTGGAGGTGATGTTCAAGATGCAGTTCTCGGTCTTTCCGTTCCACTCGCTCGGCAGAGGCGATGGTTTCACCTAAAAAGAGAAAAGGTGAGAAAACTGCTAAAGAAGTCTGAGCATTTTGAAATGAAAATGTATTTTATTTTCTATAAACTCTACTTAACTAAACTACCAGAAACAGTAAAGTATCCAGAAGGTCCTTTCCTATTCAAACATGATTTTGAAAAAGTCGTTTTTTGTCATATTATCTTCTGCATATTTGCCATTTTTTTCCTGATACAGTTTATGGCAACCTGAAATCTTTAGTTTCATGGTTTTCTCTCATTAACAGCTTTCAATCTGCCACTCTTCAATCATTCTCCTACTGCTTCGCTGTTATATCTCAGTGTTAGTCTATCAAAATCACTCCTCTCCTTCATCTCGCTTCCAGGATACATTTTAAAATCCTAGTCCCTACTTTTAGGCCTGACTGCATTCCTGGTCTGATTCTCCTCGTAGCCTGAGGTCTTCAAGTGAAAATCTGCTTCTGGTTCCTGGAACCAGTTTTTGAAGTCGAGGAAACGGGTCTTTTAAAGCAGTGGCAACGAGCTTCCTTCATCTCTATGCTCCCTGGACTCTGTGGACACTTTTATAAAGCAGCTGAAAACATGATTGTTTACACAAGCTGTTCAAAACAGCTAATCATCTTATTCATTTAATTTTTACTTTAATTTTAATTGTTTTTTCTTTGTTTATTTGTATCATGTGTTTTTGAAAAGTCTGTGAAAAGTGCTAAACAAATTAAGTTTACTTGTATAAAATCCGACTTAAAAATGTGTATTTTTAGCATGACAAAATATAAAAGACAGTCAAAGGATAGAATTACTTTGTTCAGACACATATGGTTCATATGATTTACAGGGAGGTGTCAAGTGAGTGAAGGCCAGCAGGAGTACAGGATGCCTCGCAGACATATTAGCTTTACCAGCACATGATGGAGTTTGATGGGGGTCGCTTTATGGATACGCATGAGGCCAAGTGGTCGGATCCTGCACTCACTCAGCATGTGGGGTTATGTTAGAATCAACAGCATTGTCACAACTGAGCTTTCTTCAATGTGACCCCGTATCAAACTCTGACAGATGCTGGTAATGTTTTCAGATGTGTCTAGGGGGCATATTACCCATCACTGCTCTGCACTTGTACCAAATTACATCCAAACTGCGCGGCACCTTCTTGATACTTTACTCTTTCAGTGAGAGACCTCATTTACTGATAATTTCTGCTGTCTAAAGGTGTAGTGAACATGCAGTGGCCGTGGGTGTAATCGTGTGTTCACATTTTGCAGTGTTGCAGTTGGAGGGGTGAGTGGGTGACGCTGTGTGCTCACAGGTGAAATGCCCACAGGGATTCGGGGATTCCAGTCCTCTGGCCTCACGCTGTTGCAGTCTTCCCGTCGGGGCTGAAAAGGAAAAAGAAACAGCCATGTTTGTTCAGGCTCACACTTGGAACGATAAAAAGGAATCTGTCTGCACTGATACAGACACGCACACACACACAGGGGTGTAGATTACACCCACACAAGAGCTGGATTGTTGCTTAGCTTAAAACCACTCCGATGTGTTGTATGAAATGTTAGTATTCTTATGTGGAGCTGGTGATTAAAAAGCAAATGCAAGTCAAGTGAAATCAAATCATTTTTAATCAGCGGCTTGTTGCATCTTGACAAAAATCTTTTGACAAGGTAACAAGCATCCTAATAAAAGCATTACCCAAGAATCATTAGCATATGAATCATTCCATATGAGGCTTTTGAAAGGAGACATGCACAGGGCTGGGTATGAGTGCAAGTGAATGGCATTCAAATAAATTATAATAACACCAACAGCGAACAACTCCTACCAAATAAGAGCCTGAGATCAAAAAACATATATATATATTCAAGTATTTGTCTAGCCGCCTAATGCGAGGCTGATGTGTTAACGCCGATCCCAGAATCCTGAAATTTGTGGTTTAGATGAAATGTCTGGGTATCCCTGCCTCTTTTATCTTCTTTCATGACAGCTTGACGCCGTAGCCCGTCAGTCTGAGTGGGGCGATACCGTGTCAAACAAATTGTCGAGGCTGGGACGTGCAGCGACTGGCTTTGGGGGGAGCCGTGCTGAGCATTCAGCACACATGAGAGAAACATACCTCTGCATCTGTTTTTATGAGGCCAATAAAAAGCCTCCTCTGTCTCTGGCTCAATTGCCACCTTGGCTGATTTATGTGCTTGAATTTACACTGCATTGCTCCACCGCTGAGCCTGGCAGATGGCCAGGGCGCACCAAGCGAGCAAACCTGCGCCTGTGGTCGTGCGTGAGAACTGCCTTGTACAGGAGCGGCTCTATAAGATAAATGTCTGCGAGCTGTAGTCACATGGGGGAAGTATACAACCCCTGGAGCGATTGGGCTGATGTGTCAACAGTATTGTGAGAGCTGTGTGAATAAGAATCAAAAAGCAGATGCCTTGAACTTTTTATATTCTTTGTCTTGACTGTTAACACTGCATATTTACAGCAGTTAAATGTGTCACTGTAGTGTCTCCATTGAGTGGTTGTGTCTCCATTGATTAGCTGGTTGATGCAACACTGAAAACTTTTAACTACATTAGTTCTTGTATTATGATTTTTTTTTGCACATCTGATCTTTTTTTTTCTACTAAGCTGACTGTTATGTGCACAAAAACGTTTTGCGCTTTAGAGTTTGAAACTGGAGTTGCTACGCTACCTTTATCCTCAGGTTATAAACTGACCAGGCCAAGCCAGTGGCAAGGGGGCTTTTTAACAGTATTACTAAAGAGATCATTTAATAACTGATCTAAATTAAACCACCAATACCTTGGGTTACTCATTTGTTGGGGTTTCCAGCTGGAGTGTAGAGCACACACCTCCAAGTTGTACCTTGACTCGGCCGCAATAGTTGCCTGATTAAATAAAGCAGTCTCTTTTTTAGGTTTTAAGTTAAATATATATGAATATTTCCACTTCCCTCTCAAAGATTAAGAAAATTCGGCTTTTGAAAGTTATGAATAATCTTATTTTTTCAGTTTCTCCTGGTTAGCCGGTCCAAAAACGTTGGAATAACTTGTTTTAAATGGACTTTGTCTTCACTATTAACACTCCAGTTCTACTTCTGTTTTTCAGAAATTGGTTTCATATGAGCAGAAAAGGCTTTGTTAGATTAGATCTCTAAGCAAATGATTTCCTGCATCAGATGTGATTAGAGACACACCAAACAGTTACCGTTTCAAATCTCAACCTTGGTTACAGGTGCAACAATGACAATTCTAACCAGCATAGTTTGGAGGGTTTTTTTCCAAAATTTTTAACCTTAATAAATTACTGTGCAAAGATTAATTATTAGGCTCTGAATCACTGTCCTGAATTCGCTCAGCTGCTCACCGTATTAATGTGAAATGCTTGAGTGCTTTTGCTCCAAAGTCCTACTCTTTTTACTGCCATGCAGAGCACTTAAAAGAAGAGGGGGCTTGATTTTGGAGATGGAAGGGCCTTTGTCTTTCTTACTTTCCCCCCTTTCACCTGAATAAAAGCCAAATATTCTTTACAGACAGGACAGAGGACGCCTTTGTCTGCCCCCCCGTCACCTCCCTGATGCAGCTGACCGCACATCAAATGGACTTAAGTGGTAGAAAGTTGCCACATACGTCTCTTATAAAGGACACTGACTCTAAGAAAGGGTAGAGTTGTTCTGTTGTATGCAGGGATTTGGAAAGAGCCACCGACTAAACTATGTTTGATCTTTCATGGAGCTTGTCATCACCGAAGGAACCAATTTTTTTTTAGCAAGTGCTGTTTAATGCACGCTAAAAGGTCAAAATTACCACTGAGTTTTATTCCTCCATCATTTGTGAACGATGAGTGGGAAGGTCGGTAAGGATGCAAAGCTCATTTGCATAAAGAAAGAAGGTAAAGGAAAGTGAATCACCTAAAAGTTTAGTAAACATGTCTCCAGAGCAAAGGCAAACTTATACATAGCAGCTGTATTAAACTAGCTGTAAAAACTATATATCATTAAGTGAAGCTTGGATGCATACATGGAAGAAAATGTTGATGAGCTAATTAGCACCAGAAGAGTCAGTGTTTGCAGCATAAAATGTGTAACCTAATGAGCAACCACCTCATCTAACAGCTTGACCAACATGTCTGGATTTGGATTCTGATAATCCAGGAAAGACGAATAGAGCACCAGTGCGCCGTGACTCTGCATACCTTTCCTCATCACTGACTGCTGAAGGACGCCTTAACTAAACGATAATAATATGTCAAAACAGGCAGCTTAAATGTTTTAATAGTTTGGTCCTGGGGTTTAGGGGTAGGAATGGGGGCGGGGGTTCAACAGTGGTAGTTTAGCCAAATTGTGTTTGGATGCTGTGCACCAGCAAGGCGTGATCATTATAGATTTTGAACCAGTAATTCCTAAACTGTCCTCATTTATTCAGTAATAAGTTACCTAAAATATTTCAGAGCTTTTCCAACACACTTCAGAGGAAGTGGTTAATTTTCAAACATCCTCTGATGAGAGGTTTGCTTTGTATTACAAAGCTGAATGCAGAGATTTTACAGCTGCCTACATTTAAGGTGGATCTAAGTTATTCACCAGCTGCATTTTAGGCTTATATATTTATACAACAAAACTATGGTCTGTTTTAAAGCAACGTTGATCTATGCTACTGATGGGAGCTAACTTGTGACTAATGGATAATGTGTACTATCTGAAAAACACGGTGAATTGTGAGCATTTCTATGGAGCATTTTTAGCCTAAGCTTGGCTTAGACACTGTTTGCGATGTAAACCATCACTAGAATTAACTATCTGTTACTGTACACTTTACTTTTAAGAAAAAAAAGGTAATTGAATCTAGAATTTAGTTAAAATTTCTGTAAAACTCAAGGTTAGTGTTAATAACTAACTGAACCTGTTGCTACGGGTATAAAACTACTTATGAATGACAATAATTTACGAAAGATATTTTGCATTTTAATATTTAATCCCTGGCTTCGATTTGACCAAAGAAGCTTTTATAGAGGTTTACTGCCGTTGCCACGATTCAGGTCAAAATGTCGCCTTAATTTTTCTCTTTTTCTGGCTTAATTTAAAGGTAAAAACCCAAATTTGATCATTTGAGAAGCCCTAACTCGCACTGGGAAAGCCAGCAGAGCACCAGCCAATGGAGCTGAGTACCTGTACGGGTCGACTGGTCGGCGTGCTGATGAGGGGGGTGGAGCCCATGGCAGATGCCGCTGTTAGGCTCCGCTCCCTTTCTTCCTGATAGATGCGGTCGCGCTCCGCCTCTGGAAGCTGAAGGAAGTTCTGCATGGCACGCAGGTTGACCAGCAGCGACTGGGACGCCGTCTTGGGGTCTTCTTCCTTCCGTAGGATCTCAGACAATAATCCCTGTAAAAAAAAAAAAAACATGAAGGATTAAAAAAAGTGTGACAGTGATATCACTTGTAAGTGCTTTTGTTGAAGAAAAGCCGCTGTAGCCGTTTCGGCAGACACCATTCTTTATTCATATCAAAGAAAAGCTCAATTCCCTTTCAGCTCCGTCTGTCCATTTACGCACGACAAAAACACTTCACTGAAACTCGTGTGCATAATGCTCGTAATTTTGCATGTTTTTCTTTTTTTTCCCCCAGGTTGCCTTTGATAAGAGCTCAGCTATTCGCCTTGTTCAGCGGGCAATCAGTGTATCCTCTGTTTACTTTTCAATAGTGCTCAATTCCATCATTATGAGACAGCGATGACTCCATTATCGGTGATGTGTGATTGGGCCTTTTCATCAGCTCTTGGCCACACACTGTGCAAACTGTAGCTGCGCTTCTCCCACCATCAATAGGTGTGATTTGATAATAAAACAAGGTGATGGGGAAACATACTTGTGCTTTTTTTTCCCTCTCTCTTTTGAGCATTTAAATACTCTTAGATTAACCAGAGATTTCTGACGGCTAAAAAATAATAAACTCAAAAGAGAAGCTCTTCATCTTTTTAACATCTCTCAGTTTGGATGCTTTTGGTTCTAAGGCATTGATACAAACTGGTCAATCAGTTTCCTCCTAATAAATAAAAGAAAACTTTTCAACACTTGGTTTCGAGCCTCACTTTCCATCTTCTCTGCATTTATTGGAAAGTCTCAAACCTACTAAATAATCCTCTTCAGGCACACTCTGCCCAATTCCTCAAACCAGAAACAGATAAGACTCTGTTGGAGGAGATTTCCTGAACTGGACAAAAACTCCACTGTCTTAATCTGCAATGTGACTCACAAACATTTTCTAAAGCAGTCCTGAACATTCAGATAAATCAGATAAATCATCTTTACCTTCAAAGCAAATAAATATTGAAGGAATGGTTTAGACGCACAAGCCAAGGCATGATAGCTCTCTAAATTTACACTGAAATAAATCACTGATATCAAGAGACTAAAATCATTTTATTGACCAAAAAAAATAAATTTTCTGGTTTATCACCAGTTCCACCTCTGTGTTTGTAGGGTTTTTTAAATCATTATTAGTCAATGAAACGAAAAGAAACTGTTGAAAAACATGCAAGCATTTAACTTGGGATGGATGGATGGATGGATGGATGGATGGATGGATGGATGGATGGATGGATGGATGGATGGATGGATGGATGGATGGATGGATGGATGGATGGATGGATGGATGGATGGATGGATGGATGGATGGATGGATGGATGGATGGATGGATGGATGGCTGTCTTTTTGATAATAGGATAGAATGAAATGAAAGATGCACATTTTGATGTTTCTGTTCTGCTTTTTTAACCACAATTAATCGCAAATTAAAAAGGAAGTGAAAACAGCAAAGCACCAAGTGAAGCATCGAACCCTGATTTTAGTTTAATTTGGTCTGAGTGCAAACCAAAGATGAGGTTGGTGATAACCACTCAAATATAAATAAAGTAAAACACCTAGAATGTTCCATGGAACTATTGAAAGCTCTTTATTTACATGTAGGAAACAGTTTATCCTCAAGGACAGTGGAGATGTTATCAATTAGTCATGCATGAGGCTCTGGCTCAAGGCAGCAAACATTTTTTTAAACGTTTTACCTGATAAGAGACTACTTTACAGCTAGATGTAAGTGTGGAAATGTATCATAGATGGGTTTGATAGTTCATCGGGAACATTCTCTTTCCCCAGGCAATATGAAGATGGTATTTAACCAGTGAATATCAGTGGTAGAAGAGGTCTAACATGATGTAAATTAATGATCAAATTACGTTTTTGGTATTTTAACAGGATCGACATCTAGTTCATTATTGAGGAAGTTCTGCTGTCTGTCCTCACCTGGGTTCTGTTGAAGGCCACCCGGGCAAAGACAGCCTGCGAGATGCCAGCCCGCTTCAGTTCGTCCCTCACCCACTGGTAAATCTCAGAGGAAACCTCCGTGTTGGACCCCACCTGAGGCTCCAGGGGCTTGCTGTGGGAGCTGCGGTTTACGGGTGGGTGATTGAGGTACTGCTGCGACAGCGACTGCTGCGCCAGCAGCCGGTTCACTGCATACTGCTGGTTGAGGATCTGCGCCATCACGAGTTGCTGGTTGACCAGCTGCGGACTGATTGGCGTCGACACCAACCCAGGGTGGTGTAGGCTGGGAAGCTGCGGCTGCCGGCCACCTGTTTGGCCGCCATGTGGAGGAGCGTGCTGCATTGGCGGGACTGGTGATGATGGCGTCTGCTCTGCGGTGCTGCCAGGAATGGGCTGCTGCTGGGAGAAACTTAGGTGGTTGTGATTGTGGTTGGAGCCGGGAGGGGAGAGGTCGGACAGGCTGTCCATCTCCGCTGGAGAAAAAAAAGAGAAAGAACAAAGAAAACTCCTCAATAATAAGTAGCTGAAAATTGATGGTCAAAAAACAACACTAGAAACTGTTGGAATATTTGGAAAAAGATGAGGTGTAGTTAGTTCTGCCTATTATTGAGCAACGGAGAAAATAAGAATCAGTTAAGTACAAAAGACCTTCATGGTCTGTCTGTCCAATAAATGCATCAATCCAAAAGAAATCCCATTTTCTTACATTTGTAAACGCATCAGCAAACATCCTCTCTATTGCTCTTTTTAAGCCTTTAACCTTTAATAAAAAATAAAAAAAGTTTAATCAAAGTCAGTGCTTTTGTTCAATGAAGCTATGGACCAAAAACTACAAGAGATCTTGGCTTTAATGCATTTAATAAATGCTAAAAAGAAATACGTGTGTCTGTTATCGTTACATAAAATCATTGCAAAAGGAGAACTTCGAAATGAATTTGTTTTTTGTTTTTCAATCAGCTGACCCCGAAATTGAAAATCAGCAGATGTGACCTTTAATAGAAAACGGAAATCTGTATCAGCCTGTAAAATCCAAATCATCTCTAACCATAACCACAGTCTCTAATCCAGAGAAAAGAGCTGGTCTGCATCGGGTCAATTACTGCCTCGGGTCAGTGCTTGCCTGAAAGTTAACGTTCTTTTTTTATTTTATTTTTTCGTTCTTTATGGGAGGGCAATACAATTAGGAGCTCTGAAAGAAAATGTTAAAAACCAAAGTACCAACAAAAAGATACTGTAAGTCAGTGAGCTATATTTCTTTTTTTCCCCCCTTCAAATGGCCCTTCATCCACGAGTGGATCCGCCACAGCTGGTTATCTGGTTTAAAAGGAAAAAAGATGTAAATGCTGATAAAAGAGCCTCATTGTGTTTGACCTGTGTGTCTCATGCCTTCAGCATTAAGTTCAGAATGTGTTTGGCCTCATGGTAAAAAAAAAAGATAGCACACAGACAGTACTGCATGTGTGTGTTTGACTGGGATTTATGTGCATGTGTGGATTTATGCCTAATCCTAAAATAAGGAACACACGCTGGCAAATGTGACAATTTTAGACAAGGATGGTGTAAATATAAATGTGAAAAACACAGAAAACACAACAGCTGATGCAGAAACAGCCTTGTTTTAAGGTTTTCAACATCTCCTAGAACTGAACTAAAATCAAATGTTTTCATTGTTATTTGAAGCCAATTTGGGAGATTTTTGTGGTGTCTCTTCTTTCGGGAATCGGTAAGTCCATAATGGCTGCTGGGGAATATTTTAAGACTTCTTTAAATGAAGCGCTTAGAGGATGAAAACAATGATTTAACATTTAAAGTGCTACCCACAGAGAAGTGCATAAACAGCTGGAATAGTTTTCAGGTCGCAGAGGATTTTTCCCCCTCCCCATCTTTTGTGACAAACGAGTGCGGGGGCAGCATTCAAGGATTCATCCGCATGGTGATGTTAACATTACGGAAGTGAGCTGCGGCCTCCACATCCCACGGAGATCCATCCATCGTATGGGATGCATGTTAAACAATTTAGGGGTTTTATTTTCATAAAGCTGTTTTTTTTTTTTTTCCAGCAGATGGAAGATTATCTGCATGGATTTTTTCCAAAAAATATTCTTGATAATCATGTCTACAGGGGGCCTGTTTCTTAACTGTCAGGATTCAGAAAACCAAGACAGGTCTATTGAGCATTTTTTTTTTTTTTTAACAAATGATGAGGAGTGGAGGGGTGAAGGGGATAAAACAAAAACAAAACAACCAAAAAAAAAAAATCTTGGTAATAATTACGTCTCTTCTTATAATCCTCTTCATTCCTTGGCTCTGATGGTATGACTTGCCTATTCACTCTTAAGTGAATGTGTGTGTGTACGTGCATATGCTTGCACATGCAGACTGCTGGGGGGCATGTTCACAACACACAAACACTGAGGCACATGAAGGCATTTCCATGCAAATTGAAAAGAGAAGGGGTGACAGAAGAGCATGGCAGGCCCTGGGAGAAAAAAACCCGGCTGCCACAGAAGCAGGAGTCCTCGTGTGGAATCCTGCCACAAAAGAGCCCCGGATTAAACACACAATGGGAATGGGATGTGGGCTGAGGGAGAAAATGTATGTGTGTGTGTTTGATAGAGCGAATGAAAAGAGGATTGACCCAACTTTCACTCTTCTGTTGGCTTTCATATGCTAGATCTAACACGAGAACCTGTGATCAGTGACTTTAACCCGTAATCTGGAACTTTATCCAACAAGCAGGAACTTAAAACCATGATCAGGATGTTCAATTTGGGATAAGGGGAGTACTAAGGTTGACTTCAGTCTCCAATTAATCTCTGAATGTTTTGTGAAGGAAAATCAGAGGAGAGGCTGTTCACTTATACGGCCTCCCTCCAGCACCTTCTCCTCTGTTTGTTGCCACACAGACCAGATATCAGTGCATTATGGATCCAGAGGTTAGGGCCCACCATGGGCCTGTGGTGGACACCAGACATGTGTGTGGGGTTTTTTATCTGAGGTTTGGTTAACATATGTGGGTACTAAAGTTTTGAGTTTGTCTGCACGTCTTGAGATGTTATCAGCGAGTTTGTGTACCGATGTGGTTAGTTTCTTATCACAGCTTCATATTCCAGATGGATGTATTTGATATATGACAGTACTATGTATGAGTTATCACCATTACACAGAACTTAGATACATATTTAAGTGGAAAATGGGCTTAATGTTCAGGGTTTGACCAACAAATCTCACTACTTGAGTACTTTTTATGAGTCATTTTGGGGGCTTTTTCTCTCTTCTGCTTAAGGGCTTTCTGCAAAAGTTTAAAAACAGTAACTTTCTAATAATATATTTAAAAAATCCAGTATGAACAGGAGATAATATAGACCTTTTCCTTTGCTGTAGCAAATCTACATGACACCTTTAAGATCCAACCTTTCACAAGGATTAAAATCAAATTGGAGCTCTGGGTATTCTTAAAGGTAAAACTTTCCGATGATTCTCTACATTAGAGCTGTCAAATCAATACGAACTGCAGTAAGAACTGCCGTAACAAACCAATAAGTTCCCTTTAAATCAGTTGTTTAGACAGTACCATAAAACTTATGTTTGAGAGAACATGTGTCTGTAGTTTGAACGAATAAAATGCAGAGACAGCTGCTGTTATCAGCCTTTGTTGACAACAGCAAAACAAATAACTTAACCAACAAGTTGCAATCTAATATTTATGAGGCTGGACAAAAACTATGATTCAGCCTCGGGGGTTAAAAAAAACATGTAAAGGTGTGACCTTAGTTGTAGATTCCTAACACACCAATCAGAGAGGGAATTCAGTTTTAAAGTTACATAATTAAAATAGTTTTGGGAAGAGAGTAAGATTTAAAACAGATTTTTACTGTTATGTCAGATTAAAGTAGTCATACACTGTATGATTGCCATCCATCCAACTTTTGGCGCTTATCCGTTAGCATCTATGAATGAATATATTGTTTTATTAAGTGTATAATAAAATAAATGTGATATAGATTAAGTCTCTAAGGTATTCATATCCATCACATCTTAATATCTTTTAACTGTCTGAAATTCAAGCAAATCTAAACGTATTTCACTTGAATTTTATACAATTGACCAACACAAGCTAATGGTGAACGGGGAGAGAACAAATCATTGTTTTAACGTGTAGTGACTGAAATCCTTTGTCTCCACCTTTCAACTTACCTTTAGCTCAGTCAGATCTCAGTATTGTTTTAAAACTTCAATCTCTTAAAATTCTCCCCAACTCATTCTTGACCTTTCTGTTGTGCCGTCATGATGCTGTCTTTCACTAATGTTTTAAATCAAACCACTGATAATGTCACAGAGGAAATCGATTTGTCAGAAATGATTTTACAGAGGTGTATAGCTGAAAGCATTTGGTTCCACTGGATTTTAATTAGGAGTGTCTGAGTAAAAAGGATCCCACCCCAAGCGTCTCACTTTTGTTAATAACTGTTGAAAACCATTGATTATTTCCCTCATGACTTAAATTGGCTTGAATTGGTTTAAGAACCAAAAAAAAAGATTCTAATTCTAGTTAGGGAAGTGAGAAGGTAGCTATGAAGATGTTAGGTTTATGTATTTAGGAATAAAATGTGGCTTCTTCAATGGTGAGTGGGTGAGTGCATCTTCTATTAGGGTTTGAAATCAAGATTTACGGTTTACTTCAGGAAAATAAAAGTTATATTTGCAGGTATTTTGGTTGGGTTAAACTAAAGCTGCAGGAAATTAATTTGTGTGTGTGTGTGTGTGTGTGTGTGTGTGTGTGTGTGTGTGTTTGTGTGTGTGTGTGTGTGTGTGTGTGTGTGTGTGTGTGTGTGTGCGTTTGTGTGTGCCCAAGCTGTAACATACCTAGTGCATTGGCACGCGGACTCTCACGGAGGACACAGGTCCCCAGGTAGCCCTCCAGCTGGGAGGGTTGGCGCATGCCTGCACGGGCGAATGGCAGGGCACGCACATGCACACACACACACACACACACACACAGACACACAAACACACACACACCACAATGTAGAGGTGTGAGGAGAGAAACACAGGGGTTAAGGCTTTCCACAGATTGTCTCTCCCACTTCCAGCTATGCAGGAATAAAAACATCAGCATCGCTACAAAAAGGCCAGACTGGCAGCTGCAGCAGCTCCTCTTATGAGGAACATAAAACCAGACAGAAAACAAGTGAGACAGAAAATGTGTAGGAGTGAAGCAAGAGAATACACAAGAAGAGCGACTCTGAAGTAAATATTGTAGCCTGCGTACGCTGTCACATCGAAAGCATCAGACAAAATGTGATGGCGGCACACCGTTTGCATGCAGGATGTGAACATTTTTTTGATAAGGAATCTCATCTGTCATCACTATGAGGAATGGCATCCTGGCAGAAAAAAAAATAAAGATTAAGTTCAACAGATTGCTAAAAGTAATACCTCACTATTGCCTGGTGCCCTATAGGTTTCACAGCACAAAGCTGTTTTTGCTTAATAAAACTACAGACATATAAATCTGATAACTATCTCCAGCTTTGGCTCTACTGGCATTATATGACCCCCATTTCCTGTCAAAGGTTATTTTTTTAGATTGGGTAATTCATCGGTACAGAGGTAGATAAGAAATCTAATTATATTCGGGATGAGGCGGTGGACAGTTGGAGTCATTATTGGTTTTTACTCAAAGAAAACCTAAGAATTATACAAAACATTAAAAACAATGTACAGTAGATGCTAAAAATGAGTGTTAGGGAATTAATGGATCTTTCTGAGGAGTAAAGGTAGAGAAAAAGGAACCTAATTTAGTTATTAGGGTTTACATATTAGCTCTTGATTAAAGATTTACTTTGTTTTTTTTATCAGGTTTAAAAATCTTCTAAATCTGACCTCGAGTTTATATGTTAAAAAAAAACAAAAAAAAAAAAACACTGCTATTTCAATTATCAACTAAGCAAAATTTCAGGGCAAAATGGAAATGATGACTGTGAATAAACTGAGCTCCTCCAATGATTTAACAGCTGGTTGGACCAACTTTAGCAATAATGACTGTCAACAGTCGTTATCCGGAGGCCTTTAATAAGCTCTCCTATTGCTCTGGTGGAATACGCACCTCACTTCTCTAAACTATTACTTCAGTTAATAAAGGTTTGCAGACATGATATCTGCTCAGCTTTTTAAGGTCCTTTTAATCAGGTTGATATCCGGACTTTGAATCACTGCACCACATATATTCAAGCTGCATTCGAGTATATTTAAATCTACAAGCTGCAGAGGTCATCCAGGTCCAAATCCTGTCCTCTCCACCTGAGGTGTTGGTGCTGAAACGCTGTTTGGGTTTCTCCAAACATGTCCCTCTAAGTCTTGTCATATCTCTCTGCTTTGGTCTCATCCTTCTTAAAACACTAATTTTCTCATGTCCTGTGGTTCATTCAAATGCAGCTGTGCAATCTGAGGGGAGATAAAAGAACAAAACAAGCCAAACTATTTTTCTCTTTTATTAGCTGTCCTGTCATGAACTTTTAGATTCCCTCATGCTAACTGAGGTCTGTGGTTTGTGGGATAGAGCTAATGTTCTTTTTTTTTTTTTTTTTTTTGTCCCCTTCAGATCAACACAATCAAAGAGTTGTTCTGGGTAATTTTCTGCTGTGTTGCTTGGCTTTAAAATGGATATATAAAAGTTTTGCATTCATACATTTTCTCCCTGTACAACCATGGATGGTGTCTATTAACAGAAAGCTGGGAAAGCTCCTGCTTTTATCGAGGTGGTCACACCCATAAAAGAAAGTATGTTTGATCCGCAGCATTTTAAAGCCACATTCCTCTCACTTTTTCTTTACGAACAGAAAAAAATGGCCATTTAAAATCTGTTGTATGGTTAATTTCAGGTTAAATTCCAGTTTTGTTTTTAAGACCAGATCACTTTTATTCCTCTGACATACCAAACCATAGAACTGATGGTGGCTGTACTTCCTCTTTACAACGGGTTGTAACTCCAGTTTCGACCTTGAATTATTAGATAACAAAGTAAAAATGTATCTGTGCAGCGTTCAACAGCAGGAAGACAAAGAGCCGTTTGGATAGAGGACATATTGTGATGATGACTGGTGCGAGTGTGTGTTTAAGAGCGTGTGTGTGTGTGTGTGTGTGTAAGCAAAGAGACAAAAGTGTGAGCGCCATACTTTGCGCCCCTCCGTTTTGCTTACCCATCATATCTTTTGTCTTCTTGAAATGTTTATACCAGCGCCCAAATTCCTGACACTTTGCCGCCGACACATTTGCATAGTAAGTGCTGTTCACAATGGAGGAAATCATACTCTGAAAGAGAGAGATTGATTGAGAGAGAGCGGGAGAGACTTTTAGATTCTCACTGTGGAAAATACAGACATAATATTAGAGCTGGTGGAACATGCAGCAACGCTCCAGCTTGTCAAAGCAAATAAAATATAAGGAGGGGAGGTAAAAGTGTACGACATGCAGATGTTTAAGATTGTTGTTTTTTCCAAACGAACAAGAAATCACATCAAACAAGGTTTAATCTGTTGTCTTTATCAAATGCCACAGAGTTTGTCTCTTTCAGAATAAGTACTTTTCTTCAAGAACAAGAAAAATATTTACCTTCAAAAGGAACACAACGATCTATTAAGCATCAGCAGCTGTGGAGGTGTTTCTAGTAAGGGAATAAGAACCTTTCATTTTCCAGCTCTATTTATGCAATCTGTTAGAGACTAAAACTTCAAGCAGGCCAGGGTCTGCAGCGAGCATGTCGGTCCGGGACGCACCCCTGCTTCTGACTCTCCCTATATAGTTGCCTCTTTGCTCTCTAAACATTTACCTCCAGCCTTACACAAACAGAGACCCCCCTGCCCCCCTTAATTTATTAAATCCCAATGCAGTTTTAATAAAATGAATGCTTTAACACCTCGCCAGCCTCCGGGTAAATGCAGAAAAATGTTTTTGATTGTTATAAATATTCAAAAGAACCAAACCATCTGTTTTCAAATTATGGGCATGCCATCTTTATCGTTTTCTATAATATATGCGCTCAGAGGACTGTGTGGGGACCTTCTGGTAGAGCAAGTGTTTCAGTATTATGTTGGTTTCACTGACTTCAGCCTGTCTTTGCAGGGAGGAGAAAAAGGCCAACAGCCGTGCCGTCTGAAAGGTCAGAGCATCTCTGAACTTCTGACCTTTGCATTGAAGTGATACTTCAGATTTACTTTATGTGAGATTTTGTTAAGAGGTTACGACCGGAAGATATATTCCCTGCAGTGTCTTAGTTTGTTTTTAGAGATTTTCACAGCAGGATAAAAAGAAAAACTTTCCAGCAGGTTAAAAGAAGTCCAGACACAAAATATTTTCCTGCAGACGCTCATTAATAAACGTTTCTATGCGATACCAGCCTAATAGAATGCATCTTCCTGTTTAGACCCTTACAGAGAGAAGAGGCCCACAGCACCACAGACCCTCCACCATACTGAGCCTCTGTTTAAAGTCAGACCTACCTACTTCATTTTAAAAAGCTAAATCTTAAGCTTGTTTCATTTTTTTTCCTACTGGATGATATCTGAATAAGAAGGAACTGAGATCTGGACCCATTGCTGCAAAAATTCATTTTCTTGTAAGCTTCTTTCCCATTTTAAATGTTTATTTGGAAGGTGAGAGCTTATTGCCAAACATCTCGAAAATGAAAAGAGTTTTAAGGTTAACAGACAAACCAATGTTTGTGGTTGATATTACAAGACTGGAGTTCTGACATGACAGAAATCAGCTTGTGTTTTAACCCAACCCAAGAAGATTTTTATCTGCAGCAGATCAAATCTTGATCAACCTAAATCTCTCAACAGAAACCTACATCAAAAAATCTGAAACATCATATGGATTCCGGCATTAGTTTTGATGAGAGTATGGGTTAAACAAGGTCAGTATTATAAAATAATCTCCACCTTCACCCTTAGTTCAAATTAATGACGACAATCTGCCCCAGATCTTTAATCATATGCTTCCTGTTTCCTTAACTGGTTGTTCAGCTAGTTTGGCTGGAAAACATTGTTACACTTATTGAGGTGAGCTTTTATTGACTTATATGTGATTAAAATATGCAATGTTGCTTTAAAACATCAGACAATAGAAAAAGAACCACCCTCAGTCTTCCAAGGCCTTTGTCACTATGAAATAACAACGCTAACCGCTTAGCATCTCTCAAGAGGCTTCTTCCCAAGTAAATCCTCATCTATGTTCTACATGTAAGCAAAAACTTTACATTAAGAGCTAAGCACAAACACAAAGGATTGCTTCAATTCAATTCCTTCTACTTTAGTTTATTTAATTTGCATAACACCAACTCACAGCCTTTACTCAAGTCTTAATTTAAAGGAAAAGCAGGAAATGTTTATATTACAGAAAATATATCAAATCAAATAATGGATAGAGATGGACTCCAGATCTATACGACCCATAAAACATCCATCCATCCATTTGTCGTCATGCTTATCCCAAGCGGGGTTCCTGGTGCCTATCTCCAGCTGTCTATGGGCGAGAGGCGGGGTAAACCCTGGACATGTCGCCAGGCCATCGCAAACAAGACAAACAACCATTTACGCACACACTCACACCTAAGGAGAATTTAGAGAAGCCAATAAACCTAACAGTCATTTTTTTTGACTGTAGGAGGAAGCCGGAGTACCTGGAGAGAACCCATGCATACTTAGGGAGAACATGCAAACTCCATGCAGAAAGACCCCGGGTCGGGAATCGAACCCGGAACCTCCTTGCTGCAAGGCAGCAGTGCTACACAATCAAGTTAATAATACTAGCTGGTAAATCGTTTTCTTTATAGGGAAATTTTATCAGTTGCATTCATTTGATGACTCTTTTTTTAACCAAAAAAATTTGGTTAAGTTTTTCCTATTTTGTGTTTACAATGGCATGACTGTGATGGTAGTGGTAAAGCACAGGCCTTTCCTGCTTTAAACTTAACTATCAGAACAATGAAGTGCAAACAGAGCATAGGTTAACCCTGAAAGGGTCCAGCTGATTAACACAATGACGACCTCACAGCCTGAGTACTCAGCTCTGGAACAAACTCATAACATAACAGGCAAAACTGTCACATACAGATATGTTAATTGTTTTATTCTTATTTTAAGTTCCTCAAATATTTATTTATTTACACCAGATGTCCAAACACTCTAGGCTCTTGCAATCAAGGTAAAATTTGTTCTTTAGAAAATCCTGGCCGCTAATGATTCTGACGCTCCACCAATCAAAGCTATCAAAGTATTGGCTTCCAATCCTTATTTTACCATCTAATACAACAAATGATTCCAGTACAGTAGTCTTTTTCCTTCACTTCTTTAATTCTTTGTCAGAATTTAAGCTCAAAAACTGGTTCTAATAATCAAAATAAGTTGATTTGAAAGGTTTGCTGTTGCAGTTATGCTATTGATTACTTGGTGTCTCATATACAGGTGCTGGTCATAAAATTAGAATATCATGAAAAAGTAGATTGATTTCAGTAATTCCATTTAAAAAGTGAAACTTGTATATTATATTCATACATTACATACAAACTCATATATTTCAGATGTTTATTTTGTTTAATTTTGATGATTACAAATGACAACAAATGAAAATCTCAAATTCATCATATCAGAAAATTAGAATATTACTGAAGACCAATAAAAACAAAGGATTTATAGAAATGTTGGCCAACTGAAAAGTATGAACATGAAAAGTATGAGCATGTACAGCACTCAGTATTTAGTTGGGCCTCCTTTGGCCTGTATTACTGCAGCAATGCGGCGTGGCATGGAGTCGATCAGTCTGTGGCACTTCTCAGGTGTTATGATAGCCCAGGTTGCTCTAATAGTGGCTTTTAGCTCTTCTGAATTGTTGGGTCTGGTGTATTGCATCTTCTTCTTCACAATACCCCATAGATTTTCTATGGGGTTAAGGTCAGGAGAGTTTGCTGGCCAATTAAGAACAGGGATACCACGGTCCTTCAACCAGGTACTGGTAGCTTTGGCACTGTGTGCAGGTGCCAAGTCCTGTTGGAAATGAAATCTGCATCTCCAAAAAGTTGGTCAGCTGCAGGAAGCATGAAGTGCTCTAAAACTTCCTGGTATGTGGCTGCGTTGACCCTGGACCTCAGAAAACACAATGGACCAACACCAGCAGATGACATGGCACCCCAAACCATCACTGACTGTGGAAACTTTACACTGGACTTCAAGCAACGTGGATGAAGTGCCTCTCTTCTTTTCCTCCAGACTCTGGGACCTTGATTTCCAAAGGAAATGCAAAATTTACTTTCATCAGAGAACATGACTTTGGACCACTCACCAGCAGTCCAGTCCTGTTTCTCTTTAGCCCAGGCAAGACGCTTCTGACGCTGTCTGTGGTTCAAGAGTGGCTTGACACAAGGAATGCGACAGCAGAAACCCATGTCTTTCATACGTCTGTGTGTGGTGGTTCTTGAAGCACTCACTCCAGCTGCAGTCCACTCTTTGTGAATCTCCCCCACATTTTTGAATGGGTTTTGTTTCACAATCCTCTCCAGGGTGCGGTTATCTCTCTTGCTTGTACACTTTTTTCGACCACATCTTTTCCTTCCCTTCGCCTCTCTATTAATGTGCTTGGACACTGAGCTCTGTGAACAGCCAGCCTCTTTAGCGATGACCTTTTGTGTCTTGCCCTCCTTGTGCAAGGTGTCGATGGTCGTCTTTTGGACAACTGTCAAGTCAGCAGTCTTCCCCATGATTGTGTAGCCTATAGAACTAGACTGAAAGACCATTTAAAGGCTTTTGCAGGTGGTTTGAGTTAATTAGCTGATTAGAGTGTGGCACCAGGGGCCATCAATTTTGAACCTTTTCACAATATTCTAATTTTCTGATATGATGAATTTGAGATTTTCATTTGTTGTCATTTGTAATCATCAAAATTAAACAAAATAAACATCTGAAATATATGAGTTTGTATGTAATGTATGAATATAATATACAAGTTTCACTTTTTAAATGGAATTACTGAAATCAATCTACTTTTTCATGATATTCTAATTTTATGACCAGCACCTGTATATGAATATATTAATTTAAAGCTGAAACAAAAGTACACAAATCTGGATATAAAAAAACTTTTGGAGCAGCTTAAAAAGATACCCAAGGGGGAAACAATGAGAGGGTATCAAAATAAGGAGTCATTAAAAGATATTGATTGTGCTAGAAAACATTTAAATGTTGATCAAATGGTTTACCTTATAATTGAAACTGCAAATAAGACACTGCTAATCGATTTTCTCTAAGGGCTGCGTACAG